TAGCTTACATTAACTTTGATATGCTCAATCTGAAATAGTTTCCCACATTAAAACTGTCATTGTTGAGACACTCACTGAAAACATCATGAGACCAATAGTCCTCTTTAATCAGATTTTCTTCATTTTCTGAAATCTCAGTGCTCATTAATGTGTACAGTTAAGCTTGGCTGTTGCAACTTTTCTGTTTCATTGCACATGCTTTTCTCTTTCAGCATTGGCATTGGAGAAGAGGAAACATAGGAGGCAACAAGGACATGTTACCTGCCAGCATTTGACTGTTAATCATGTTGTATATTCACCTGATCTCTAATTGCTTCCAACCTCCATCTCCACTAATTACTAGATAAAAAGTGAACATAAACTATAATTAAGAATATAAATAGCTTATATATTCATATTAGACTGTTCTACTAGTGAATAAAGAAAGGTTCCTTGAATCTGTTATAGTGTGATGAAAATTGTGAAAAAAAAACCAAAGCAAAACAAAGCAAACACATAATAAGATAGAGCCTGAGTGATAATTTATAGTAATTTAATTCTAAAGATATTTCTTATTGTCCAAATTTTGATTGTGCTAGGCAAAATAAAGATCTCTTCTAATCCTAGGAATCTGTAATTGTGTAAGATTACTTTATATGGCAAATGTATATGAAAATTACAAATAGAATTAAAATGACGAATTACCTGACATTAAACTAGGGAGATTATCCTGGATTACCTGATAGGCTAAATGTAGTCAAAAGAGTACTTAAAGGTGAAAAAGCAAGAAAAACAGGTCAAAGTAATGCAATGGGGGAAGGACTCAATCTACCATTGCTTAATGATGGAGGAAAAGATCCCTCCTATTCTTAGGAATCTGTGTCACAAGCCAAAGAATGTGGATGGTCTAGAAGCTAGAAAAGGTAAGAAATGTCTTGGGGCCAGTGTGCAATGGATAACACGTCTGATTACCAAAAGGTAAGAAATGGATCCTCTCTTAGAGTCTCTAGCATAGAATCCAGCCAAAGCAACACTTTGATTTTAGCCCAATGAGGTTTGTGTTGGACGTTTAAATTATAGAAATGTGTATATAATGAGTATGCATTGTTTTAAGCCATAGTGGTTACCAATGCTCATCCTAAGGGTAGTAGAATGCTTTTACAATTTTAAATTTCGGAAAGATTTTATTAGAGTTCTATCAGGAAAATGAAAATCACACAAGGTATTCAACACAGGAGGCTTAATATATGAATTTGTTTCATAATTGTTTGAAGGATGGAGTGAGCAAATAGAAACACTAAAGTTATCCAGAGAAAATAATAAATGTCATCCAGACAATGACTGCCGGAGAAAGTTCCCACCAGTATGACTTTCAGAATAATTCAAAATTAAACTCTAGAAATTCTAAGTGGAAAGTGAGTATGATTTTGGGACTTTGAACTCTTAGGATGTGTCATGACATAGATACTGCTGCAACTTTGAATAGACACAATATGCCTGGTGCTAAAATATGGAAGGGAGTCCTAGTGTAGCACTGTGGGTTAATGCACTGGACTGTAAGATTGGTTTGATTCACAAAGACAGTGGTTCAAGCTCACCAGCTGCTCCTCAGAAACCCTATACTGGGTCGCTATGAGTTGGAAACAACTTGATGGCACATAACAACAAGAACAAAATATAAAAAGAATCTGAGGGCTAGAAGAAGAAGGCCTTTTGCTACTTGGGCAAAGTATTGTTTCTGGGACAATGCTGGCAAGAATAACAGCAAATTCTTACCTTCCACACTCCCTCTCCAAGCCCCCATTGGCAGCACTTAATAATAAGGAGCCAACTGGCAAAAGAAACATGTGGTTTGCAGAGGTCAGTTCCAGGATCATAAAACTAAGAATAGAAGGGTAGATTTGGTTCTGAGAGACAAAAAATAATAAATGCAGTACTCTGCTTTGGCCACTCAGATTACATTAACAGACTTTTACATTTATTTGAATAACTAAAAAATGTTATGTTTTTACTTACTAAGATACAATATGGAGAGAACTAAAGTCCCAAATATAATCATATCCATCTCTGAATCATTTAATTTTTCTTTTCTAATTCTGCCACAATCCCACCAGATTAGTCTACAACTTACATCCTCAGCAACAATCTTTATGTGAACTATCAAGAATCTCTATGAGTTAGAACTGACTTGACAATACCTAACAACAACAGCAGCAACATGGTGAAGAAAGCTAATTTAAATTAATTAGAATAAACAAATATATATTTCTAACAAGCACTAAACCTCTAAACACTTGCTAATGTTGTGCAATGTCAAATCAATTTCATCTCATAGCAACCCTAAAGGATAGATAGAAACTGTCATT